TTGGATTAGCCTGAATTATATATTTCTGTATGTGGGAGAATCCAATAAACTTGCACCACAAGCACAACAAATTTTTGTATCCTTTTCATTTACTAAAGTGCATTTAGAACACTCCTTTCCACCACTTGTTAAAGGTTGAATTTCTGATCCACCACCTTCCTTGATTTCTCCACACATCTCACATATATCTTTACCGATCGAGTTATTAAATGTACATGTAATGCACTGCCAAAATTCTGTAATATATTAAAATTATATTTATAGAGCTTTGAATATAATGGATTCTAGAATATACCTGATTTTTTTGATAATGGTTTCGATATTTCTAATTTTTCAGAACTTTTATTGTGATGCTTTATTTTTTTTTGTATACTTCAGTTTTTGATTTGTTGTTATTAATTTTATTAGTCACGATTACTTCATTATCTTTGCTTGGTTTTTGCAGGTTTAGTTGATTGCAGTGAATATTCTAACTTGGTGATATTTGATGAACTATTATTCTGCATTTTCTTTTCCAAAACATTTTCTCTGTCACCAAGATCTTTGCTATATCCTTGTTTTTCTAAATCTCTATATACATAATCCCAAGTCTCAAAGCTCTCATCAGTTTTAAACAATCTTTATTGTTATTAATTTTTCAACTTTGTTAGTAAATTGTTGTGGAAGGTTTGATTTGTACGAGTTAGAATCCACTTCATCATACTTATAAGATTGTTGTGACAACTGTGGCATCATCTTAAAGATTTAAATAAAAATATCATTATTTTTTTTAGAAAATAGAATAAAAACATTTTAAAACAATTAATATCTTCTCACTACACAACTATCTAATCTTACTAATAATAAAATTATGTTAAATTAGTTTAAAACATAAAAAGATAAATATAGGATGTTGTAATTGATGTCAAATTGATAAAATAAATAAATTAGCTTCAATCGACTTACATTTTGGCCACCATCGACTTCAATTAACTGACCAGTTGCAACATGAGCTTGCCAGTGTAGTCATTAAGATTTTGAAAACAGCTTCATTGTTATAACCATACCTAACAAAATTTTAGCTGTGGGATTATATAATTTGCATCATATAATTCGGCATGCCATTTTGAAATGGTATTGGAACAGCATTTGCAATATTAACAGGAATTGTATCGCATACGCAGGTGGGTGACCATAGCAGTTCAAACCATATGGATTTTGTGGAACAAACTGTCCATATAAGCACTGTCCAGGCAAATCAGAGGTCATAACATTTGACATGTTTCTGTTATATAGATGTGAATAATGCTGATATTGTACATCTATAAATATTTAAGGAATAATAAACAAATATGTAATCATTAAATGATTTTTTTTTCATTATTACCATTTACAGCAGCATAAGAATTACAATTATTTTCTGTTTACATTGTTGATAGTTGTTTTCATTATGCCTGTACACAAGGCTTTACTAGCCTGTTCCGGACCTCCAATATGCACTTCCCTAAATTGTAATGCTTCTAACCATTTAATATTACATACTGCAGATAAGACTTTTTCCCAAATATTTTTTAAGATCTTGAAACAAAAAAAAAATTAAAATATTGATTATAGAATTAATACCTATTAGTTAATTATAGTTTTTACCTCACACTCTACAAATGCCACAAAGAATCTCGACTAACATGGAACTTGATCTGGGCAAATGGGCCCCTTCAATAAAAGAGTGCTTCCATCCACACGTTTTATAACCCATTGCTTCAAATATAATTTCAGCACCAACAAGATTTTCCTCAATTTCATGTTTATAAAACCCCCAATACAACTGATAATTCAAAAAGAGCTCCAATAAATCAAATATAATGTTATTAACCAATCAAAATTATTATCATGTAATTATAAGATTTAGGATACATTAAGAGATCTACAAAGCAAAATCATTAATGCCTAATATAACTGAAATAACCTTAATTTCTTTATATTCCTTTCTCCATGGTTGTGTAAGTAAATTAGCTGCATATCGAGCGATTGCATTCCAGGCAAGCGCAGCACGATACCACTAAAGTTTTGTAATCCAGCAGACTTATGAAGAACTTGCAAAGTTTCTCTTAATACAAACTTTCCTTGAGTGTGGTACAATGCACAAGATTCTCTTATAAAACCTAATAAAACAATCAATTTATATAATAAAAGTGAGTAATAAAATATGATGTTTTATAATGAGTAAGACATAATTAAGTCTCGCTCTTGAAATTTTTAACTAAAACGTTTTGCATAGGATGTTGTGAAAACTAGAGAAACCGATTTTAATCGTAAGTATATAAGAATAACATTGAACTTACCCTCAAGTTTCTGTCGTTGTTCATTTTTTTTTGTGGACAATCATCAGTTTTCTAAATAACTAAAATGCATTGATCAATCTGCTGTTGCAAGTCTCTCTCAAATGATCCTTTGTACCCCAATCAGAATCCTATGTGGGGCCTCCATATCCAACATTTTATTCATAATATCTTCAGATGAATAAAGGAAACTGATCATGTAATTGTGCACATGCTTTTCTAATAAAATGAATTACAAGAAATTAATAAATTTATATCTATATATATTATATATATATATAATATTATATATAATATCAAAAAATATATATACGTACATATATCATACACATTATGATTTATTTTAGATCTACATTTCTATATCACATTTTAGAAAATTATTGACATTCCAAAGTGGGGTTTCACTAAAAATAAACTATCTATAAATAAACATTGTTTTGACTTCATATTTATCAAAGCTTGTATTTTCCACAAAAAAGCTTTATTTATTAAAAATTTAAATAAGAGCTATTTGAAACTAGATGACATTTGACTAGCATTTAATTATTTAAAAATTATGTCTAAGATAGTTAAAATGTATTTAGTTAATCATTTTAATAATCGCGAAAATTATTGCTAATTAACATATTATTTAAACGAATTGATATTAAGTAATTATTAATAACACACGAAATATGTTTTACAAACTATTCAAAACTTTAATATTTTAAATATTTAGTATTTTGATTTTGACATTTATCATTGGTTCGTATCCAAGATGAAGTTCGTGTTCTCTTGTGATGAAAATATGAAGATGGTGCGAAGTTTTTCTTGATTTTATTCTGTATTTATTAACATTTATTTATTAACTAGTGGTGCATGGCATCGTGCCTGAAGGCAAACTGCCATCCCAAAAATTTAATCAGTTTTTCATCTTGTCAATACAAGTAAAATGTTTTTTGAATTATTAAAATCAGACGGTCCGTTCTCTCAAAAACTGAAAACTGCGTTTTTGGCACTTTTTGCCCCGTATCTTTGAAACGGCTAGACCTGTCTATGCCAAAAACTAATCAGCACGTCTTCTTATCAATACCAATCAAATGTTTTTTGAATAATTGAAATCGGTTGAACCGTGTTCCCGAAATCGTCGACGAAAATTTGTATCCGTACACACACACACATACACACATTACCCACACAAACACACACACATACATCCATTTTTTCTAAGGTATGCCAAAATGCTCAGAAACCTCTAAAACGTAAAGATATATAAAAATTTTCATTTTCGATTTTTTTGCGA